GATCATCCTACTTCCATGTAATGTGTTGTCTCTCTCTATTTCCACCTGGACTTGGACACATCCAAGGGCAGAAGCCTGACCTAATTTTCTCAGTTACTGGCACCCAGCCCTTGGCAAATGTCCACTGTGCTCTCAGTGGAACCTCTCCCTCATGATAATCTGTTCTCTGTGTTTTGTTTCTGCTCCTTTCAAATGTCCTTTGGCAATTTGAGCATCTTAGGGTCCTTTTCCAGGAACAGTGAAGTCTGTGGGAAATTGGAATCTTTTGGCCCTTTCTGAAATTTCCGTTTCTAGGGACATGTTGGAGCAATAGCACAGTGGGTAGGACATTTGCCTTGCACGCGGCCGACCCGGCAGACCCGGGTTTGATTCCTCTGCCCATCACAGAGCCCGGCAAGCTACCGAGAGTATCTCACCCGCACAGCAAAGCCTAGGAAGCTTCCCTTGACGTATTCGATATGCCATACATAATAACAACAAATCTCACAACGAAGACGTTACTGGGCCTGGTCAAGCAAGTCGATGAACAATGGGAGGACAGTGCAGTGTAGTGCTACAGGGACATGTTAAAAACATGTCATTTCATTATACTTCTAGAGAATTTTTCCCCTGCTCTCTCAAATGTTGATCAGACTTGTTCAGTAATTTAGCACCTACCTCCTGCTTGTCTCTGATGTGCTAGACATTATATTAGGTGTTAGAATGCACAAAGTAAAGAGCAGTTTCCATCCTGAAGGGTGGTATTGTGTAGTCAGGGAAATGAATATAGGAGTTAACTAGTGATTTTAATCACTGTGATATATTCTTTAATACAGGTAAGCACAGCGAGCTTTACAGGGGTTTCCACCAGCATTTCTCATCAGAGGCCCCCTGTATATTCCAAGGAGGCCACAGGTGAAAATTGTGTAAATAGGGACCCAAGATGAGGAGTGGAGTTGGGACTCAGGAAGGAAACACAGTTGGAAGGGGCCCTGAGTTGGAGAAAGGTGGAGAGACATTGGTTTTTACCGTGCTGAGGAATTATCAGGAAAAGACTTATATTTTGTTCTGTTTTGTTTTGTTTTTATTGGGGGGGGGCGGTTAGAGGGTTACACACCCGGCAGGGCTCAGAGCTTATTTCTGGCTTTGCACTCAGGGATCACTCCTGGCAATGCTTGGGGTTCCTGGGGGTCCTGGGATCTAACCCAGGTTGACAAAATGCAGAACAAAAATCTTTCCCCCTGTACTGTTGCTGCAGCCCGCAAGAGGGAAGGCTTTTCAAGACATGAACTTGGGGCTGATTCTGGAAGGAGACACAAAGGCAGCTTGAGAAGGAATGGCATTCTTTTTCCCAGATAATTGTGGATTCATAGTTTTCTTTGAAATAAGATTCTCTTACCGGGTTTTCATTTATTCCCTAACTTAGCATGTCTGACAGGGCTTGGGGAATGGGGTGTGACTCCCAGCAACCCTTTGCTGAGCAGTACAGATCTGATGGCTTCATGGGGCTTAGGTCAGGCGATTCTTGGAGGCCACCAGGGCTACACCTGGTGGTTCTGGGGGTTCCGTGCAGTGCCAGGGGTTGAATTTGGGGCCCTGCGCATTCCAGACATGTGTTCCAACCCTTCCAGCTGTCTTCCTGACCTACCCTGTGTTTTGCAATGTGAACCAGCCAAGATGTTCCTTTGTAATTGTCCAGCATAAGTATTGCTATCAGTGGCTTTTCAATCCGGTTGTTCAAATGTCATAGCTAGCCCAGTGTTGAAGTCATTGATCCATTATCAGTTCATCTGTCGAGCCGTAGCTTTTTATATAGCAAATCAGGGGTCAATAAGCTATGGCTTATCATCCATATGCTCTGCTTCCCCCCCGCCCCCCTGTGGCCTTTAGCTAAGACTGATGTTCACTTCTTTATAAAGGATTGTAAAAACAAACCAAAATAACACAAAAAAGACATTGCAGAGATGCTGTGTGACCTGCAGAGCCTGGCATGTTGTTATCTGGCCCTTTACACCCCTGCTATCTCTAACCTCTCAAGTGGTTCCACATGTCGTAAGATTTGTCACTCCTGCAACTCCGCTTTTGCTCTTCTGTCTTTTTGAAGCATTGTTATTTATCCATCCATTCACTTCTTCACTCAGACACTGAACATTTATTATGCATGAGCCGCTGTTCTGGGACCTCGGAATACAGCAGTGACAGCAAAGCAAATAGAAACAACTCGTCTTTCTGTCCTGGTCAAGGAAGGCCTCTCGGATAGCATTTGTGTTGGCTCTGAAGGGAAGTACCAGAATGAACCCTCAGGTCATTTGGGAGAAGGACCAGTCAAACAAAGGGACTGTAAGGAATGGGAAGAATTTTAGACAACTAGGTTTGGAGTAAAGGGAGAATGTGAAAATGGGAGGAAAGAGGATTAGAGAAGTGAGGGTAGGATGAGAGGAAGGGCAGTCATAGAAGCCTGGTAGGATGTTAAAGACAGACTTTATTCTTACTGTACTAGGAAGGCATTAGATTTGATTCTAAGGTAGCATAATATTTATGGCTTTAAATTGTCCCACTTGCTCCGTCATACTGGGGTAACACATGAACAGCATCATTGTGACTTTACACAACAAAGATGAATCACCTCTCATGGTCTAATTCTAGTATGAAACTGCAAAAGTATACAGAGTCACTTGGGATTTTTATTTGTTTCAGGGCTATACCATAAGTAAGTGTACTTGAACTCCTGGCTCTGCACTCAGCATCACTCCTGGTGGTGCTCAGGATACCACATGCAGTGCCAGGAATTGAACCTGGGTCAGCTGCATGCAAGACGAGCACCCTACCGGCTATACTCTCTGGCCCCTTCAAAGTCATCTGTGAGCCAGGCTGATGGAAGCTCTAACCAAATTTGTGTTGGTTGTCACTATCTGGAACCAGCACCCTCCTCAGTGGCCATAGCTGGGAAAGGAGAAATATTTGTAGGTTGTTGCCTTGGCTCTGAATAACACATCGTTCTCACCCACTCCTACCTAATTCATTGGCTGGAACAGCACTCATACTAGCTTCAAGGGGACTGTTTTTCCAAAGTAGCTGGCTCTGTGGAGTGCTTGTGTTTGGTGAGCCTCACAGCTTTGCACCCCAAGATGCAGAATGATTGTAGTACTTGAGAGTGGTAATAGCACGGAACTAAGTGTAAGAGAAAAGGGCAGAATTAGGTGGAGTCTGGATAAATTTGTTTTATTTCATTTATTTTTTTTATATCATAGTTTATTTTATTTATTTTACAAAGCTGTTCAAGATTGGATTTCAGTCATCCAGTGTTCCAACACCCATCCCTCCACCAGTGTACATTTCCCAGCACTAGTGTCCCCAGGTTCCCTCCCATCACCCCCCCCCCCATCCTCCAAGATAAATTCATTTTAGATAGATCAGTAAGATTTATGAAAATCATGGAGAAATTAAACAATTTTCCCCTTACTATCATCTTATTCTCCTATGTAAAATAGATTTCTTTGTGCCTGGTTCATGTTTTTGCCTCCTTTTTCGATAGGATTTGGAATAAAGATACTTGAGACCTATTGGTCGAATGACAGAACAACTTAAGCCACTTGCATTTGTTCTACAAAACCATATTGTGTATACATGTGAAGGCATAAATGTAGCATATTTACATGAATTACATAAATATAATAAAAATATACCTGTGTAGTTGACAGAAGGTTAAAACCCAAGTACAGGATCCAAATTCAGCAGGTGAGCATTTGTATGACATGTGGTCGACCCAGGTTTGATACCTGACATTCCATATGGTACCCCAAGCTTTGCCCAAAGTAATTTCTGAGTACAAAGCCTGAAGTAACCTCTGTATATCACTGGGTGGGAACCCAAAATCACATCAAATAAAAGCCAGTATCTGAGCTAGCGGGAAACAAAATGGTCCATACAGGGCCCAGAGTGACATAGAGGAGTCTGGTACTTCCATCAGTTTTATAAGCTCTTGAGTGAATAAGAAATGAGTAAATGCAGCATTGTTCTAGAAACTTTAAAAAATTAAGAACAAAATTGTTCCGAATTTCAGCACTTTACCAATTTTTTTTAAATTAATTACGTTGATATTACATTGGGCTGGAGTAATAGCATAGCAGGTAAGGCGTTTGCCTTACACATGGCCAACCCGGGTTTAATTCCTCCGCCCCTCTCGGAGAGCCCGGCAAGCTACAGAGAATATCCCACCCACAGGCAAAACGTAGCAAGCTACCCATGACATACTTGATATGCCAAAACAGTAACAAGTCTTACAATGAAGACATTACTGGTGCCCACTTGAGCAAGTCGGTGAAAAACAGGAGGACGGTGCTACAGTGCTGTAGTATCACATATATTATCTTCAAATCATAGGATATTTCACACTTTAATGTAGATATTCAGTAGTTTCATGATTTCTGATTCCTAAAATTTAATTTTATCTTGAGCATTTCACAAATTGCGGTACTGTTTTGTAAAAAATTCTAATGACAATGACTAATATTCTGTCTGTAATTGATCATAAGGTACTTAGCGTTTTCACTTATTACTCACATTTGCACTGTACCATCAATCTATTGGCATACTCATTTTATTCCAACTTCACCTGCTTTGATGATACACTTTTTAAAAAATCTTAAAAAAATATCAATTCTTTCTTATTTAATAGTACAGATGTCACAATGCTGTTTTCTTCACAAAAGAAAAATTAGTATAGGAATTGATTGAACTTGTATATATTTAAGTTCATCTTTTGTTCTTCTTCACTAATCCTTTATTGAAAAGGCTATTTGTGGATCAGAGAAATAGCTCAAAGAACTGAGCACATACTTTGCATGTGGGAGGCCTGGATTACATTCCTGGCATAGCATAGTCTCTGAGTACCAGAGCTCTGCCAGGTATGGTCCCCAAATATACAAAGAAAATTCCCGCAGAAATTAAAAGTCTCTATGTAATACATAGGGTACTTGTTTCACTGTTATTGAATGGCCCCTCCCCTTTTTTTTTTCAAGCTGTCAGTTGAGGTACGAAAAGAAATAACGGAAAAGGCTATTAAGACAGTCAAACATTTTATTGAGAAGCCAAGGAAAAGAAATGCAGAAGATGACTTTCAAGAAACTAGTGATGCTAAAGTCACTTATGCAGATACCCTGATGCATCTGGAGAAATCGCTCGCTCACCTGGAAACCCTCCACCACAGCTTCATCCTTTCTCTGAAGAACAGTGAGCAGGTAATGAAATGGAAACTTCTAGGGGTTCCTCCCTCACTCAGTTCTATAGTCTTTCATTTGTCCTTAAAAGCTTTCTTCCTTGTAGTTCCCGCAGGGTTTTCAATCCTTTTTTTTTTTTTAAACTTGGAAGTGGTTCTTATAATCTTTTTCCTTTAACTTCTTTATTATCCTTTGGTACGCAGTTCAGTTTTTTTGGTCTGCAATCCTTCTAGAGGATTTTAGGCCCTTTTCTGGTTGGTGCTGGAGAAGGAAGGGGAAGGACGGGACAAGAGGAACCTGTTTTGTACCCAGTGTGCTTGCTGAGACTTAACAAATGATAAGAACTATAGTTTTCAAATTCTGCTTCTAGCTAGTGGGTGTTTCATCGTCCAGATGAATAATTTGTTCCCTATACCCCTCCCTCCAATTTTTAGAGAATTCAAAAATAACCACTGCTGCCTTCTTCAACAGTTTATTTTTTTAGTGTGTTACTCTTATCCTGCTTTTAGATGACACATTTCTACTGACCAGTGCACTCATACCAAGTGGTTTCCAGTTCTCATCCTCAGTGTGTCTCTGAGAACACTCTCAAACGTCACCAGGTCCCTGGTGAGACTCTGGGCCAGTGTTGGCACTGCTTGAGGAAATCGGAACCCTTCTGGGTCTTTGGAGATTGTGTTTGGGATGTATTTGTTGTGGGAACTGATAATTTTATTTTCCATCCCTGGAAAGTCGGTAAATCAATGAGTAAATGGCTTTTGTGTACATGAGAACAGTGTTTAGATATCTCAGTAGTAGTATTCCATTTGTACTTTTAATGTTATAGAAAACAAAACCTCAAATGACCTCTAACTTCCTCTTTTATATTTCTTTGAGCTAATGTTGTCATTGGATTATGTTTTCGCGTGTTAAAAAGGTATTTCTGATGAGACAGATCAGTCTGTGGAGAAGAGTTTAGATAATGAACAAAGGGTAAACTTCAAACTTTGTATGAGAATGCAAATTTCTCCTGAAAAACTAATGGGGAGAATTTAGAAGTTTGATAGCACTTTTATTTCATTTTGTATTTTTCAGTGCCTATTAGCTCGTCTAATGAATAACTTTAAATAATGGGAAGAGCAACATGGAAGTCTTCACAGAGAAGAAATTGCCTTTACCAATCTTGATTTTATCTTACTGACATTTACAATGCTATAATCCATAATTATGAGAACTAGGGAAAAATTTGAGTCTTCAAATAAAAGTGATTTATACTTATTAGTATAAAAACTTTCAAATATTTATTTTTTTAATCAAACATATTTATTCTGATCTAGAGAAATGTCATTCCTCTTCTTGGAACAAGTACCGTCTTTCACCAGTTCTAATAGTATATATGGCAGCAAGGGTTTGTTAGCCAAAACAGTCATTTGTTTCAAGTAGGCTGCGACTTAAAGCCCCCAAATGGCTACGTGTGACGGCCGGTCAGCCAGGCTCTGTCTAGTGTGTAGTAAGAGAGTCTTTTCATTGCGGAGTGGAATATTATTTTATTAAGGTGTTTTGTTTTTGTTTTTAGTTTGTTTTTGCTAACTCTGGAAATCACCTTTTGTGTAACTTCTTCCTGTACCCAATTGGGAACCACTCATGTTCTCCAGAAGGAGGGCATTCTCGAATAAAGCTCCCTCTTCTCTAACTATATTTGCAGTTGCCCTATATAACTTATCACAGGCACTGCAGAGTGTGATACAGGGTTCTACCAGACGGAGACCATTAAAACAGAATCTCATGTGCCCAGCTCTCTGTCTCAGTAGGTTCCAACGCATTGCCCATACTTTTTGTCATGCATAGCTTTACCTATTGGAATGAAAATCCTAGTTTATTTTTATCCTTAAACACTTTTATATCAATTTCCAAAATGTATATTCAAATAGAATCGTTAACAATCACATTTAAAAAATTGACAGTAGCTCTTTAATATCATTTGATACCTGGTTAATGCTTGGATTTTTCACATCGTTTCAGGAAAGTCAGGATTACCTGTGAATAAAGAACCTGGAAAATGTTAAGATGAAGTGCCCAAGAACATTAAGTACCTTATGTTATATAATGAAAGACAATTGCTCTCTTTCTTAAACAATTGGCTGTCACGTTAATTCTTAGAGCTATTGTCAAAGGATAGGTAGTGTGACATGGACATGGGGAAAATCTGGGGATTCTAATCCTTATTTGTGTTGACTGTGACATTGGGCAGGTTATGCCTTTGGTCTTCAGTTGCCTTTTTGATAAGCAAGAGGTAATTAAAACTTCTTGAAGATTTTACACACACACACACACACACACACACACACATACACACACACAATATGTATGCTTCCCTCAACTTCCGAAGCTGTATATATGGGTGTTACGTGTTTGTAGCATGATAACACTGAAAGAAAGCCCCACTTTATGCCGTTACTGCATGCCTGACGCTGTGCTGATGGGCTGTCTTTCATATTATTTCACTTTCGCAGCAGCCTCTGTTTAGAACTCTCTTTTCACTCATCCCTGTTTTCCGGATAACTGAAATTTGGGATTGCAGACCCTTTGAGATCACTGAAAGCTGGGCGGACCTGGAGCCCAAACTCTTCATGTTTCTCAGTGCAGCATTTGTGCTAGTAGTAATGTATTTGTCGTGAGACTCTTGTAAATGTCTCCCTATGTCCGTGTAGGCAGATGTACTTCATTTTCTGTTGGATATCTAGGTGTTGAATAACATATCTTTTCAGGAAATTCTGAGGAAATACTGTGACCTCTATGATCTGTCTCGATCAGAGCAAGGGAAACTTCACGATCAGGCAGTGGCCATGTGTTTGGACGGCCAGCCTCTTCAAATGATTCAGCAGCTGCTGGAGGTGGCTGTGGGCCCGCTTGACATCTCACCCAAGGATGTCGTACGTGGTGCAATCACAAAAATAATTTCTGCATTAAGGTAAGCTCGAAAGTATCACTGAAGAAAAACCTGAAATGATTTGGGAGGGGCAGGGCCAGTAATAGTGCTCATTTGATGATTCCTTCAAAGATAAAATATCGTGCATGTGCAAACGTTTTATGCTAAAGTACAGTGAAGTGCTTTACAGTTGTGAGGAATCTATAACTATTACATTTCTTAAAAGTCTAAGGCCTTGAAATATCTTGAGTACGGAGAATCATGAAAGTGTTTTCGCATTGACATTGTGTGTAATATGTTGGGAAGTGAGCTAATTTCAGATTCAACTCCCGCTCCCCCCACACTAGTCTTGAGATAAGGGAAGGTCCAAATGGCCTGTGAAGCAGCTGAGTGTTAGCTGACTTGAGTGTGCGTTTTCAGATCTCGCCTTTTCTAATTCCCTTTCTCTGAGCAGTGGGGAAAAGTTTCCCAGAAGGTTCTTTTGAAGTACACAAGCCAAGGTTAATCACATGCTGAAGAAGTTAGACATCTGTGAGGTGTCTTAGGACATTATTTACCTGCAATTAGTGGCATAAAACCGACAATAGAGAAATTCTAGCTCTGTGTCGATATGTGGGTGTCTTTGTAGGAATACATCCAAGAGGATTAGAAAAGAGGGGAGAGTTAAGCTAAGAAAATAATGAGGCATCAAGTGCTTTCTGTGAATAATGCAATTAGGCCAGAAAGATTTAGTTGTGTTTAATTTATTCTCCTTTTAAGCATTCTTTGTAATTCTGTATTGCTCTTGAGGAACTTTTTGATTAAATGCATGTCAGTTTTCAGCAGCTGAACTGAAATCAAATGAGCCTTTATCAGTTTAATTACCCCAGCCTCAAACAGCTTTCACCTTAATGCGTTGAGGTATCTGGTGATTTTAGAGAGAGAGAGAGAAATAAAGTATCATGATATATTTTTGAAATAACAAATGCCAAATTAATAAAACTCCATTCTGTTTTTCGTATTGTGTTTTGGTGATGGTAGTAAGGAAACTTTTTTCTTTTAAGTGATGACAAATATGTGTTTGCAACAATATTTGTCTTTTGATTCATGCTTAAGTCTTTCATTGTTAACAATTTAAGGTTTATAAGAAACCTCTAAAAATAAGCAGTGTGTAAAAGTAATGCTTTCACTTTTTAGTTTAAAAACCCTCACATTTGGGGCTGGAGCGATAGCACAGCGGGTAGGGCGTTTACCTTGCACGTGGCTGACCCGGGTTCGATTCCCAGCAACCCATATGGTCCCCTGAGCACCGCCAGGAGTAACTCCTGAGTGCAGAGCCAGGAGTAACCCCTGTGCATTGCCAGGTATGACCCAAAAAGAAAAAAAAAGAAAACCCTCACATTTTATTAATAGAAAATACGACATTTTTTTCTTTTTTTTTTTTTAGTCATATGGTATTCCAACACCTATCCCTCCACCAGTGTACGTTTCCCAGCACCAGCATGCCGAGGTCCCCTCCCATTACTCCCACCCCTGTCTGCCTGTATAGCAGGCGCTTTTCTTCTCTCCTCCCCCACCCCTTGCAAAATATATGACATTTTGCATTTATAATATTCTGGGATAATTATAGTGATGTCTCCCTCCATATAACCAGTTCTGCCACAAATGTTTGGTTCTCTTTTTGTTTATTTGAGGACCACACCAAGCAATGCCCCGGGGCTACTCCCTGACTTGATACTCAGGAGTCACTCCCAGAAGTGCTTGGGGCCTCCATGTGGTGCTGTGACTCCTCGTACAGAGCATGTGCTCCTGCCTCTTGAGCATCTCTCCTGCCCCCGCAGAGTTAGTTCTCTCACCATTAAGTATCAGTGATATACTTAACACGCAGACTTTGTGTAAGTGTGGATTCCTTTTTTTTAGCAGGGAAGGAAAAGAAACTTCAGGAATTCAACTAACCCATTTTTTCTTTCGTTTTTGGGGGGTGAGGGGCAAACCCCCCAAAAGGGGGTCTTTTGGGTGTTCAGCACTTACCTACTGGCTCTGTGCTCAGGGTCACTCCTATGTTCAAGAGACCATATGTGATGCTGGAGATATCAGTTTCTATGAAATTTCCAAGAATCAGGTCAGTCACATACAAAGCAAAAGCAAGCACCTTACCCCTCTATTACTTCTCCACTCCCAATTACTTCAATTACTTCATTTTTAAAGGAAGAATAATAATAACTGTTGACAATATCCATAACATTTGACTCTGAATAAAGTTAACATTTACTAGGTCTAAAATTAACTGAATCTAGTAGGTTATTTAAATCAGATACTCAAGTTGTTCATAAAACTTCATCTAAAACTTCTTTACCTTTTGTTATATTATCAAAATTCACTGGTTTTTTTAGACATCCATTTTTTAATGGGCATAATTAATTGTGAACTGTTGGGGTAATGTAAATAGCAAAATAATATTTAAAGGATTTAACACTGCATGGTAACTATAAAAATGTTGTATTGCATATATGAAATTTACTGAGAACTCTTAAAATTCTTAGCATAAAAGATATACTAAAAGATACACTAAAAGGTAACTGTGAGACCAATCTTATTCTGGTAGACATCTCATGTTATACATATATCAGATTTGTTCGTTGAACCCCTAAACTTTGAACATTCTGCATGTGAGTAATTTCTCAATAAATCTAGAAAAGAATAAAATAATTTTATATAAATCAAAACAAGTAAAAGTAAAGGACTTAACAGGGCCTGGTACTTAGTACCACATATATATTAGTTGTTGCTGTTTTGCTGTTGTTGGGTTTTTGATTTGGGGCCAGCAGTGCTTGGGACTTACTCCCAAGCAGAAATGCCTTTTGACGGAGCAGGAGAGACCATATGTGGTACAGGAATTCAAACCAGGGTCAGCCACATGCAAGACAAGCACATTACCTCTGGACTATCTCTCTCAGATTTTGCTTTCTTTATATTCTTTTCACTACAGAGTTAGGTGATGATCATATTTTTAATACCCACAAATGTCCATATATTTAATGCTCATTGAATATTTTCTGAATGAGAGAATACAAGTAGATTTTGTTGCTGACCTGATAGGAAAACAAGTGTACATTAAACCATGTATGCCTTAAAAGAGAAACTATTTTCTTTCTGAATCTTCAGCACAGCCATGAGGACCTGGTCCACTCGTGGAGTGCTACAGGGTGAATGGTGGGTGCCAGCAGGGAACAGTGCCATACCCGGCAGGGCGGGTGGGGTCTGAAGGTCTGCTGAGTTCTGGAACTTGAGCCATTTTTTCTGAATCAAATCTCCTCTCCTTCCCTTTACAGTGGGGATAGTGCTGAGCTTGGCAAGCCAGGAGACCCTCTTCAGGTCCTGGAAGGTGTGGTTGCTTCTGTGCATGCCAGCGTGGACAAAGGGTAAGATAGAACTGTTTATGCGTCGCACTTAATACTTTTCTCAGCCTTAAAATTCTCATGTTACCGCTTACTGTGACATTTCCAAGGGTCAGTGACTTTTCTAGGCATTTCTGAAGGAATTGCATAGGATTTTCTGTTTAACTAGAGACTCTGCCTCTGGACACACTTTCCAAACGCTGTTTTGACCCCAACCTCACCCCTAGCTTGAGCAGGGCAGGCCAGGACACTCCTGAGCCTCATTTGCTGTGAAGACTGTGCTCTCTGCTTCAATCTCCCCATAGAGGGCAGGTGGAGGAGCATCATAGAAGCATAGAAGCAGCTTGGAGCATCATAGAAGTGAAGATATTCGCATGTCCAAAAAATTGAATATATTCGATATGTGGACTCATAAATGTTATTTTTTTCCTTTTATAATGAATCACCGTGAGATACAGTTACAGACTTACAAACTTTTGTGCTTATGTTTCAGTCATACAATGATCAAGTACCCATCCCTCCACCAGTGATCCCAGTATCCCTCCTGCTGCCCCCACCCCAGCATCCCCTCCCCCCCGTGGCAGGCGGATTCTCTTTTTATATATATATTATTTAAAACAAAAGCAAATAAAACCATATGTGTTAGAGTTCTCCTGAGGATTAGGGACTTTCTAAGTCTTGAAAAGTATGTGTATCTAATACCATTTTCAGAAATAATTTTCCATTCTGTTCCAGTACTTACAGCAGCAATCTCACGCTTACATACTTTCTGTTTCAGATGTCTTCTATCCATTCAATCCTGTGAGGCCTCACTCCATTTTTCTTTTTCTTTTTTTTTTTCAATGTAAAATGTGATGACATAATAGTAACTGTTAGAGAATATTGCCCTATTGTTTCATCCCAGAATTTTTTATTTGCATATTCTTGTTATTGACCAGGTACAAATATATTTTATGTGGTTTTAGTCAAATATATAAACGTTTTGTCTTCTGCTTATTTTCTTGTCATTGTATCCATCTGTCTTGATAGATGTAATGATGGTTATTCTTGACCCTGTGTCTGTTCTGTTCTCAGAGGAGGATAGGCTGAGAGGGGCTGGCTTGTCCAGAGCCATGCAGCTGGGAAATAGGATGGGATTTCTCTCTGGTTCTATTTCACAATTTAGCCCTCAGCTGCACATCTCCATGCACATTTCTCTGTGCCCGAGATTTGAGTGAAAGCATTTGGAATAAGCCACATTGGTAAATATGAAGAATCAGTTGCAAGCTGGGCCACAATTTACTCGGCCTTTTTTACACGGCAGTTTCTCACATTCTCTTTGCTTATGGTCTTTAGAATCCCAGGAAACGAGGGCAGTGTTAGTTTAGTCTGCTTGTTCTAAGGAGAGACCGCCCTGCATGCTTCCTGTGGGCCATACGCTATGCCAAGCCATAGGAAGTTGGAAAGGTAGAAGAAATAACTTACGATCCAAAAGAGATCAGAATCTTGCAGGGCAGCCCTGTTTGCCTGAGTTCCCATGCTATGGGGTGATTCTCACTGAGCAGCAGAGGAGGTCCTGGAGGGGTTCATCCTACTTGGGGCTGGGCCATGAAACAGGAGTCTCTGAGGAAGAGGAGGTGGGAAATGGTACTCTGGGCTGAATAAATTGTCAGGCAGCTACACACAGGATGGGATTTCCGATCACAGATGGCAGAGCAGAGGTGCTTTGTACAACTCGGCAGCTACCATCTAGATTGTCCTCCTAGCTGTCCTCATTCCCATCCCAGTTTGTCAGTCTTTTTGGCCAGCAGCTCCCCACAGAATCATCGTTATCAGTGCATGACAGAACCAGAAAAGTGACTCACAGGAAAGAGGGGCCTTAAGCAGGCTCTGTTTCATGCACTGGGTCCCTCAGTCTTGTTCCTCCAGAGCCATCTGAAATGGCCAGGTTGGCTCTCTTGATCTGTGTGAATTTCCAGTCAGGGATGCAAAAGAACCCAACTCTAATCTCAAGGTCTCAACAAAGGGGACTTTTTTTGTGCTACAGTTTTCAAAGGAAGACATGGATAATAGAGAAACAGTCAGAGCTTCCCGTTGATTCCAGAAGTACAGAATAGCAAAGACAAATGAATGAAGGAAAAGTAAAATCAGGGAAGTGTGTGTGTGTGTGTGTGTGTGTGTGTGTGTGTGTGTGTGTGTGTGTCATGTGTAATTGAAAAGAAAAAAAGAAAAACAAAGACATAATAATAACGTTTAATCCTGGACATTATTCTTTGAGTCCAACACTTTTGTCTTTCATTTCCCTTCCTCACAGATATTTCCCAGAATCTTCCAGGGGAGTCCCTCTCTTTCCCAGGTTGCTTCAGCGAGGTCTTAGCCTGGGGTCACAGGTCCACTCTGGTGAGCCACAAAAAGCTACCAGTCTGGCAGGCCACCTTTCCCCAGAGCACCTGTCCATGGCTGACAACTTCCTCTTCATTGGGTTACCTGTATTACCACCAGACATTAGGGCTAGGTGTTCTAGGGCTGTGAAATACCATCAGACCCTTTTAGAATATCTACTACAAAAGATGAGATTAAGACTTTTCCAGTGACTCAGGCATTTGGAATTTATTTGATGAATATGAATGCTTTCTCCCAGTAGCTTGTGGTGTGAACGTGATCTAATTTTCTAGTTTGTATTTGGAATTATTGCATTCATTTTCTGCCATGAAATACCGGGTTTTGTCATTTCCTCTTTCTTGGAGAGTTCGCAGGAATGAAGCCAGGCCTTCCCTTCAGTGCAGCACCCATTGCAGCACACTCTCAACTGAAAGTTTAAAAAAAAAAAACCAACAACTAAATAATACTTTATGGTACCCTATTGGTTAAACCCAGATTTAAGAAAATATTAGGAAAAAAACAGCAGCAATATCTACCAAAAACTAACACAAAAAAAATTCCCAAATATTTTTTTCTATGCCATGATCATTGAAATACCCATTGACAACTCACTCCTCAGAACAACCATCACCCAGATAAAGTCTTTATTTACACATTGGGACATGGTATTCAGAAAGTTAAGTAACATATCTGGGGTTGCCAGGTAAAGATGCTATGAATTTCCCCTACCATGTCTCATTGTCACATTACAAACAAACAAACACTGTCCTCCCGTTGTTCATCGATTTGCTCGAGCGGACCCAGTAACGTCTCCATTTTGAGACTTGTTGTTACTGTGTTTGGCATATTGAATACATCACGAGGAGCTTGCCAGGCTTTGCCGCAGGTGAGATACTCTTGGTAGCTTGCTGGGCTCTCCGAGAGGAGCGGAGGAATCGAACCTGGCTCGGCCGGGCTGGCTGCGCCCAAGGCAAACATCCTACCGCTGTGCTATCACTTATGGAATCAAAAATTAACAGGAAAAGGGGATAGGACAGATTTAGCAGATAGTACACTTGCCTTGCACGTGGAGAACTGGGCTTGATCCCTGGCACTCGATATGGTCCCCCGAGCACCCAATAAGGTCCTTCGAGTCAGAAGTGATCCCTGAGTGCAGAGCCAGTAGTTAGCCCTGAGCATTGCCTAGTGTGACCCCCTGCCCCGTCCACCCCAACAAAACAAAACAGGAAGACAGTGCTTTCCTGGCATCTTTGAATTCCCTGGGGATCTTATTTAAGTGCAGTTTTTTTCCCTGAGTGGACTAGGGCGATAGCACAGTAGGTAGGGCATTTTTCTTGCATGCGGCGAACCCGGGTTCAATACCTCTGCCCTTCTTGGAGAGCCCAGCAAGCTACTGAGATTATCCCACCCGTATGGCAGAGCCTGGCAAGCTCCCTGTGGCGTATTTGATATGCCAAAACCAGTAATAACAAGTCTCATAATGGAGACGTTACTGGTGCCTGCTTGAGCAAATCGATGAACAATGGGACAGGACTACAGTGCTACAGGTGTGAGAGGGGCCTACTCATTTCTAAGCAGCCCAAATACCCTCCAGCCCCAGGACTGAGCTTTGAGTAGTTCCCTCCTCGACCTTCTCATCTTTTCTTTGCTCCACCTTATCTCCCTTTCTCCTCCCTACCTTCATCTGCTTTTGCAGTTTTTCTAACAAGAATGACCCACAAATTGTCAGCTGGCAGACTAGTGAGTCTCAAAAGGCTGGTACAGAATTAAATCCACTCGGAACACATATCATTAAAGAGGAATTCCTCTGTGTGCCATGCAAAAAGGAAGAAAGGTTTCCTTCCATACTCTTGCGGATTTTAAGTTTTTGTTTGTTTAAATTGCTGCTCAAATCACAGTGCCAGCATCAGCTGTTTTGAAGCTTCTCCTATGTTGAACAGTGTCAGGTATCTCGGACTTCATCAAAGTCTTTGCTCTTAAGCATTTCGCATTATTTTTTTAATTATTTTTATTTTTTTATTTTAATTTTTATTAGTGAAACACCATGAGGTACAGTTGTAGACTTACAAATTTTTGTGCTTGGGTTTCAATTATACAATGATCAAACACCCATCCCTCCACCAGTGCCCATTTCCCACCATCGTGGATCCCAGTATCCCTCCCACCCCCCATCCCACTCATCCCACCCTGCCTCTGTGACAGGCTTTCTTTGGGCCACCGTCACTCTTATTCCCTTTTGTTCTCTCTCTCCTCTTGGGTGTTGTGGTTTGCAAAAGAGACGTTGAGTGGCAATCATGTTTGGTCTAGAGTCTGCTTTCAGCATGGGAGGACCTCCATCCTGGGAGGATCCTCCCAACACCCTTTATTTGGTGCTTCCTTCTTTATCTGAGCTCCCTTTTCCCCTAGCATGTGCAGCTGGCCTCCAAGCCATGGAGTGAAACTCCTGGTACTTATCTCGACTATTCTTGGGTGTTAGTCTCCTATTTTATTACTTTATGTTTCCCAGTTCGCATTATTTTTAAAGAACAAAAAGCACCATAAAAAGAAACCAAAGACAAAACATCCAACATAAGCTTAGCTTCAGCCCTCCTGCTTCTTCCTCTTCGTGCTCTGTAGCCGCTCCCTGAGCCTGCCCACAGTGCAAGTGCCTGATGTTCTTAACACCGTACTGGTCTGCAGGCTCCAGCTTCAGCCCGGGCCACAGAGCCACACCGACCACTGAAGGCTTTCTTTGGGCCACCGGTCACTCTTATTTATGATTTAAGCCACCACGTCTGCCTCATTGTAACAAAGATGTGCTCCTGTTCTTACTGACAAGTTAGCCCCAGGAAAATACACCTCAGGAAGGCATCCATTCGAGAGCAGTCACAAAGTAGCTACAATGTCGGTGGACCCCATGGGTGGCTCACATGAGTCAGGAGGAAAGAAAGACGGTCTCCTTTTCCCACTCTGCCTTTGCCTTCCAGGTCCCTCTGGGAAGACTAGGAGTCTGGGATGAACCCCTGCTCGGCATGCCCTAAGCCCCGCCAGCCCCACCAGGTGGCTGTTAGGCCACACCTGAGGTCCACTTGGTCTGCCAGGCACTGGAGTTGATCCCCACCACCTGATTTCTCGGGATCCACAGACTCAGGCTGGAACAAGGATTTGCTCTTTGCAGAAGAGAAACCAGTCCCAGGCCTTACCCAGGGTTTTCGGGTTTCTTGTCTCTCCTTGAAAAAAAAGAATTTTAGGAATAGACAAGCAATGAAGTAAAATAGATTTTATTTGGAAGGTTTTTGAAGGTGTGGAGGGGAGAGAGAAGGAGTAATGTGCTCAAGAGAGAACTCGGGCTTCTCCAAGGGCATAGAGAGCCTTGAATTGGCTTTTGGACTGGGTCTCTTCTCAGGTTGTCTTGGTCTAGAATGTTCTGGAATCTTCTCTGGGCTGCACCACTAAAGTTAATCAGATTTAGGGAGGTGGCCAAGGGGATTTGAGGAAATTCCTCAAATTTCCTTTGTGAGGAGAGGTCCACTTTCCTTAGGGTCTGTGAAGGCCTTATCAGGTCTTGTTTTCTGTATCCACAAGGTGGATCAACCTTAGAACTTTCCTTCCCAGAATTTTGTAGACCCAAGTTGCATTGCTGAGGGCCTTTCTCTGTCTACCTGCCTAAATCAGTTATGAGTGTTTATGGAAAGTGAAGATTGGAGGGCAGGGGAGGTAGACCAAAGGGCAGAGTGTACTTGGCTTGTGGGAGCTTCATGTTCAGTCCCGGGGACCACATGGTCCCCTACACACCGCTGCACGTGGTCCAAAGCACGGAGCCCAGGAGTAACCTCCAGGCTGAGCTGTGGTCTCAAAGCCAAAATAGAAAATTAAGATTGGAATCGTTTACACACAAAGGAGATGACCTTTCTAATATTTTTTAAATATAATAATTATAGCATTTTTGAAATGGTAACATTTCCTATTCTACTACAGTGTCATTCGCACATTATACACATTTGGCTTCTTGCATTTCTTTCATCTTCCTTGCATTTTGTCCTGGTTGTTTCCTGCGCACTGATAAGTAGAAGGCATTGTCCTGGGAAACATCTGCCCCTTCCAGCTCCACTGGTAGCGACTTGGAGCATATAATGAACGTGTAATTTGGCCTCTGCAGACCTCACTTAAAGGACCGAAGCCTGCCCCCTCTGGCCTCCTTCTCTAATCACTAACATGGTTGTTAAGTTTCACTGCCAAGAAAAACTCCTTCATTTTCATCTGTACAAAATCCAAGCAGATGTCCTTAGGGATGATGGTTGCCACTGGCAGAACTTACTTATGGGCTAGGTAGTATTTTATGTACTTACATTTATTCATTTATTGTATGTATTTGTATGAGTAAGAGGTGAGCTATTGTCAGTGACCAATAATGGAATCTGTCTTGGATCCAGTCAGTAACTCGATGCTTGATTCTGGGCTGACCAGATTCAAGGCCGGGAGCCATGCCTGTGCTGTGGAGGTGTGAGGCCATGCTGCTTGAAAGACCTGCCTTTATTGGTGGAATCTGGGAGAAAGGAGGCCAGGGATCTTCTCTGCAGTGCTTAAGGGGCCTGGGAACCACTCCTGGGGATTCTTGGCCAACTGGGCTGGCCATTGCTTTCCAGTCTGCAGACTCTTGGTTATCCAGAGGATTCCAGCTGTCCTCCCTGAGCCTTTTCCTTTAATTTACCCACACATCTGTGCTTCAGGATTAGCTTGGGCATGCTCTTATCCTTTGAAATTTTTTTTTGATTTTTTTTTCTCTTGCTCTTCTCTTTGCCTGAATTGTATCTTCCCATCTTTTCATTTGTATACATTCTAATTTTCCTGTCCAGGTTCTGTCTCTGCAAAGCCTTCTGAATCTACTCACTTTCTTCAGAACTGTCATTCAATTGTACATTGCTTTACGTTGTATAATGTAGAGAATAGTCATTTGGAAAGTTTTCCTGTTCCACTGGAGAGTTTGTTGATTTTTTTTTTTGAGACTAATATAATTTCTCATCTCTGTATTTTCAAGCACTAGTGATTTGATTACACTGATGATAATGATTCTGATGCTTACTGCTTAGTAGAATTTCTTATTCTGTGCCATGTACAGTGTGTACTCTTTGCTTTATATATACTACTTTAGTTTTATAGATTTTAAGACGCTTGCTTTGGGACCTTTGTCTACCTAGAATATGGTAGATGAGATTCATGAATATAAACTAGAGACCTTAGGAATGAATAGGGCCAGAATTCAAATGTCCACTAAATTCCAAAAAATATTATTTCCTCTCTTTGCTTTTCTTTGCTTTTACCTGTTTGGGGGACACATCCAGATGTGCTCAAGGTTTTTCTCCTGGCTTTGTGCTCAGGGATCACTCCTGGTAGGCTCAGGGGACCATGTAGGATGCTGTGGATCAAACCTGTGTCCTATAAAGCAAGGACCTAGCCACTGTGCTATCTCTTTGGGCCTAGAATGTTCTTTTAGTTATTTGTTATAGTTTTTTTTTTTTACCTTTATATATTGTCTCTAGCCAGGAAATATGTGACTGCTTGTCTTTTTTTTTATGCCAGTTTTGCCATTTCTGGTACATATTAAGGACACTCAAAGCTAAAACTAATATTGTCTTGTAAATTTAGGAAATTTTTCTCATGTTTTCTACAAGTTTTGTAATTTCTTTTATTCTTAAATATAAATAGTAAATTTATTTTAAATTGTCATAAAATTTTATTGACATCTAGAGTGAATACTAAGAGATACAGCATTGTAGACCTTTATCTTAGAAGTATTGAAAAAAAATGCCATCTTGTTAGGTCATTAGGTGATTTATTGCAGGCAGCCTCATAAAGATCTGGTTACAAACAAACCTGTGTAATTAGTGATTTAGCATGGATCTCAGGGACTCTGAGAGTGAGGCTTCTGTATTGATAGCAGTCATCAATATCAGTCTATTGACGTCATCATCAAATTGTATTCTTAAAATTATACATTTGGGATTACAAGAAAAAAAGATTCTAATTCCGGATAGAAAGCTGTACAAAATGTTTTTCTCTTAACTTTTTTAAATAGTTCTTTAATAACCAAGCTTTCATACCATTATTTATTTTCAGGGTACTAGACAATTTGGAAATCTACTCCAGTGTTTCCCAAAGGGGGTACCCTCCACCTCTCCTCACTAGTGGCCTCAATTGCTTTTGAAGGGGGAGACTTCTTTCTGTTGTTCACTTAAAGGAGGTAGAATTCCAGGGAGTACTGATTTTTTTTTTTTTCCTGAAAAGGAAACCTGTACTTTAACCTACCGTATAGAAATCCTATCACAGAGAAAAGCAGTTCAACTCAGACATAGATTTGGGGATCACATTTAATGATTACAGATGTTTGTGGGCTTATATTACTTCCATGAAACCTCTTTCTTCACTGTAAAATGGATCTCATATGTGTAGTTTAGTGAGTATTTTTGATAGTGCTGCTTAAAAGTTACTAAGAGTGGATTTTAAAAGATCTCCCCTCTAGAAAAAATCTTTGTGACTCAGTCAGGTGATAAATGTTAACTAAAGTTACTGTGGCAATTATTTCACAATATATACACATAGCAAATTTTTGTGTTATGCCCCTTAAAACTAAGACAAGATTACATGCCAATAAAACCAGGGGGAAAATCAACAGCAAAATAAAATGGAATTTATGATATTTCTTTGCATAATTATTACTATCTAGTAATAGTTTATATAAAATTGTTTTAAAACAGCTTGGAATTATTAGTATCATTGATAGAAATAAACTATGCTACTTATTAACTACAAGTAAGAAACAGAATAGCTAAGGACGTAATGAGAATTTTCAACTGCTTTATTGTAACTCATTTTAATAGGCTGCTCTGTAGAAATCACATTCATTTTATGTAGTTTTAAAATACCCACTATGATTTGCTGTATACTGTTTGAAACTGAAATTTTCCCACTCAGTCAGAAAAAGCTTCAGGTCACTCAGCAAGCAAGAGTTAAGTCCATCACCTATGTGAGACTTAATACCCAAGGACAGTAGAAACAAGGGCCAGGAAGATTGTTCAGCAGTTGGAATCAGCTTCAGGTTCTGGGGGAGGGGCAGCTGGGATAGAGAAGGGACCACTGTGACAAAGATAGTTGGAAATGATCACTCTGGACAAGAACTGTGTGCTGATAGTAGGTAAAGGAACAAGCATGATAACCTCTTGGTATCTGTATTGCAAACCATAGCGTCTTTCAAAAAAAGCAGGGTGGTGGGGAGGAGAGAGAGAGAGAGAAAGAAAGTGGGGTGGGGTGGGGGGTGACAAAAGGTAAAACTAGGGATGTTGGTGGTGGGCTGTGTACACAGGATGGATGTTGGAACATTGTATGCCTGAAACCTGATCATGAACAGCTTTGTAATGACGTATCTCACGGTGGTTCCATAAAAATAAGTGAATTGATGAATGAATGAATGAATGAATGGGTAGCAAATGTGTCTACGTCTCTGTCTCACCCTGAACATTGCCTTGCAGGGAAGGACTGGTTTCTTCTGAGGACCTGCTTGAGTGGCTGCGGCCTTTCTGTGCCAATGATGCCTTACCCGTCAGACCCCGCGTTCACGCACTGCAGATTCTGGGCCAGTCGTTTCACCTGACGGAGGAGGACAGCAAACTCCTGGTGTTCTTTCGAACGGAGGCCATTCTCAAGGCCACGTGGCCCCAGAAGCGGGTAAGGAGGCCTGTGAGGGACATTCACCCCTATTAACTGTGATTTGAGGTCATTGTGTAATTGCTTAAGACCACTTTCGGGTGAATAATCAGTTTGGGAATACCAACTTTCCAATATGCTGTTTAAGTAGGTAAAAATACACTACTAGGTTTGTGTTCATTTTCCCGTCTGTTTGAGTATGCATCTGCATAGTAAGTGTTGTCTTACTCACCTACTGCTCTGTCATTCTTCTGTTTTACTGAGGTAAAATGAATGTAGAACATTATATTAGTCTTGGGTGTACAATAAAATAGTTCAGTGCTTATATGTATTGCAAAATGATCACCAGGATAAGTTTATGCAATACTCTTCACTATATACTTATAACTTTTTTTTAATTCTTAAAGTTTTTTTCATGAAATATCACTATCACTATCATCCTGTTGTTCATCGATTCGCTTGAGCAGGCCCAGTAACATCTCCATCCGTCCCTGTCACATGCTAGTGTAGCCTGGTGACATATTGGGGGCTACTTCAGTATCAGGGGAATGAGGATCATTAATTGTTACTATTTTTGACATATCAAGTATGCCACGGTTAGCTTATCAGGCTCTGCCGTGTAGGCGGGATACTCTCGGTAGCTTGCCGGGCTCTCCGAGAGGGATGGAAGCTTTTGGGGCAGCCTCTAATCACCTTTACAGGTGTTCCTTGTCAGGCATATATGCGGGTATGATACTCTCAGTAGCCTTCCGGGTTCATGAAATATAGTCAGGATTTTTCACAGGAGTAGTTAATTATGGCGACTCACTGGTTCCCTGGTTTTCTATCAGTGCCATCGTTTCTTGGAACTCATTAAATATCTTCAGCATGGTGTCACTAAAGTCATTCTTTGAGAGTTTACAGAGCTGGCTGTTACAGATAGAGCCTTCTGTGCTGTTATTGTCACTCTTTGAGTTTGGTGGGCGTCTGTGCGTCTTCCCCATTGTGTTTGCTGTGCTAAGGATAAATCCTCTGCGACATCAGGCTGGGTGCTGCTCTTTTCCTTCCCGGGTGGTTTTTACCCAGGGACAGGAGGTGTGAGTGTGTACACTGTAAGGTAGGACACACGGTCACATGGTTCAAGGAACAAGCAACAACAAAGGAGTTACAGGCACAGGAAGTGGATGTTTGCCTGGAAGATTGAATGAGCAAGCAGAGGGCCTGAGAGGCGAAGGCAGACCCACTGAAATAGTGGAGTTCAGAGGTCAGAGGATGCCAGGACCCAGTCAGAAGGAGGGCCTTTGAGCTATAGATGGACTTAATTATCATCAAAATTTTTGTCTCCACTCTCACGAAAACATGTTAGTCCAGGAGGATATACTTACAATCTTTTGAATCCCTGTAATTATGCATTGCATGTACACAATGTCTAAATACTTGTTGATTGGATAAATGCAAATTCTAATTACTAAATCAAAGAAATATGGTGGCTGTTGAAGTTAAGCTTAATTCTGACTTGATAAATGCTAAAGACAGGTTGTATGGTTCTAAGCACTTTGGTTACCTCAATCAAGTTCTTAAGTATTCAGAGTAGAACATACGCCAATAATAGTTAGGAAAAAGGGGATGGAGTTATGCTATAGCTGGTGGTTGTACAGCAAGGAGCTTGCCTTGCATGTGGTCGCTCTGGATTCAATCTCAGAACCACAGGTGGTTTCCCAAGCCCACCAGGAATGCAGTAAGCCTTTGGTATGATCTTCCCTGCACTTTTTTTTTGTAAAGAAATGAATTTATTTCTGATTAGTATTATACATCCTCTTATATCCTGAAATTTCACATCTGAGATATATTCACAAATATATGAATTATGTGCATTAATGGAATTCACATTAATGTGGGTTAAAATAATAAAATATTACCAATAATTTATTTTTACAAAGAGTTTAATGAAATTCCATGTAGCCCTTAAAAAGAATAATTTAGCCCAATAGGTATTGATGTATTGATATAAAATATATTTTTTTTAATTTTTATTAGTGAGACACCATGAGATACAGTTGTAGACTTACAATTTTTGTGCTTGGGTTTCAATTATACAATGATCAAATACACACCCCTCCACCAGTGCCCATTCTCCACCACCATGGATCCCAGTATCCCTCCCACCCCCATGCTCCCCCCCAACCCACCCTGCCTCTGTGGCAGGGCATTTCTCTCTGTTCTCTCTCTCCTTTTGGGTGTTGTGGTTTGCAAACGAGGCATTGAGTGGCAATCATGTTTGGTCTATAGTCTACTTTCAGCGTGCTTCTCCCATCCTGGGAGGATCCTCCCAGCACCCTTTATTTGGTGCGCCCTTCTCTATCTGAACTCCCTTTTCCCCTAGCACGTGTGGCTGGCCTCCAAGCCATGGAGCAAAATTCCTGGTACTAATCTCGGCCATTCTTGGGTGTTAGTCTCCTATTTTGTTACTTTATGTTCCCCAGATGAATGCAATTTTTCTTTGTCTATCCCTCTCTTTCTGACTCATTTCGCTTAGCATAATACTTTCCATGTAGTACCACTTGTATGTAAATTTCATGACTTCATCTTTTCTAACAGCTGCATAGTACTCCATTGTGTAAATGTACCAAAGTTTCTTTAACCAGTCATCTGTTCTCGGGCACTCAAGTTTTTTCCAGATTCTGGCTATTGTAAAGAGAGCTGCAATTCCCTGCACTTTTTTTTTTACCTCCGTGGTATTGCTGTCACCGAACACCAGTGTCTTATGTCATTTGCAAGTGTTTAGCTTACTATTTGACCCTTTGCTGTGATGGTGCAGACATTGACCCCAGGACAAGAGGTATGACTGTACGGAGTGAGGTATAACACATGGTCCCATGGTTCAAGGAACAAGCAGGAGCAAAGGGAGTTATAGGTATAAGAAGTAGATGGATACCAATAACACTAGTATCACTAGTAAAGTCATCTGTGTCTGCCTCCTTTCTATTTTTTCCCAATTCTTATCTTCCACTCATGAGATAAATTTTCCTGTTCCTAGCAACTGATAATCTTAAAAAATGTATCAGTACAAATGAGAAAATAAGAAAACGACCACAATTAGTCTTTTTCATCCATAGTCTTTTGGAAAAACATCGATCTCCTTTAAGAATGCTGTCAGCCTGACACAGCTGATTCAGATTTGTGATAGAGGGCATGCAAATTTGGAAGGGAGTACTGGCTTTAGAATGGGCAATAGCTGCTTGGTATGTGGAAAATGAAAGCAGGGAAATTGCAGTTTCAAATGGAAACAGGAACAACTCTGGGATGTTACAGAACTCTTCATTGTTGCTTTTTAGGAGGGGGATTGGCAGAGGGATGGGGCTGACCAGACCAAACCACATCCCCCAAAACTGTGTTACTTTTCACTATGGTGGTAGACAAATCAGGGTGCTTGTAGACCACTCATATGCATATGTTGTCACCTCCCGCCACTTTTGTGGTGTAATTCTGGAGAAATTGCTTAAACTGAGCCTTGATTACTTGCTGTGAAATATAGAACCTGCAACTGAAGTGAGTAGGATTGATTTGCTCAACTCGGCTGTCGTTTTTCCCACCCACATTAAACTGTCTTCTTCAGTTCTGTATCCCTAATACCTAGAAGACCCTAAAGGTGGATTGCCTGGGGTTTCATTTCCTGCCTTCTCCATCCATCCCCTTCTTTATTCTCAAAGGTGGTATTAAGGCTTGAGACAGTTTCTTACAGAGTAAAGATAAGAATAGATAATGATATTGCAATGTTCAATTACCAGAAAATGTGGAGCTGCTGCCTTCCTGTGCATGGTAATCCTCTTAGGCAGACTTTGCATACATCAAAAAAGGGGACTTAATATTTAATTATCCTCGAGGTGCCCAAAGTAGTGGCCCCACAAATCAATGTGTTGCTGGGAAACCAGCCAGCTCCTGCAAAATTAAACACAGAGTCTGCGGAGCCGGCTACTTCCCAGGATCGCGGAGAGACAGCAATTTCTAGTTTTCTAATGATTAGTTAACAGAATTAAAAATTCAGAGGCCCTCATTTTTCAACAGCTTGAAAGGCCTTCATTTTCATTCCAGAAATGCACCCTGCTTAGGAGGTGGGAGCATGGGGTGGGAGTGGGAGAGCAGTAGTGGGTGTGTGTGTTTGGGGGGGGGGGGCAGTGAAGGGGACATACTGTGCTTTCCCCCAGGGTACAATTTATCTGAGTTTTTCAGGTTTTGTAATTTTCTAGCTAACTGGTGCATGAAAAAATAAGGGTGAGAAAATACTGATGTTTCCTTAAGAAGTTCCATACCCCATCATCAAAAAAAAATTTCCCCTATAAAAGAGAACATGTGACTTTGAGCTTTCCCCTTAAACATTTCAAGTTATCTGAAGAATTCATGGAGTATGATCACTGATTGGGTTAAAACACATTTTTTTGTTTGTTGTTTTGGGGGCTGGAGTGATAGCACAGCGGGTAGGGCGTTTGCCTTGCACGCAGCCAACATGGCCGACCCGAGTTCGAGCCTTCTGCCCCTCTCGGAGAGCCCGGCAAGCTACTGAGAGTATCTCACTTGCACGGCAAAGCCTGGCAAGCTGCCCGTGACGTATTCAATATGCCAAGCACAGTGACAACAAAGTCTCAAAATGGAGATGTTACTGGGCCGCTCAAGAAAATCGATGAACAATGGGAGGACAGTGACAGTGACAGTTGTTTTGGGGGGCCACACCTAGTGATGCTCAGGGCGTATTCCTGGCTCTGCGCCCAGGGGTCACTCCTGGAGGGCTCCGTGGACCATATGGGATGCAAGAAATTGATCCAGGGTCAGCCACATGCAAGGCAGGCACCCTACCCGCTGTACTATTTCTCCAACCCATAAAATATTGTGTAAGGTTTTTGTTTGTTCGTTTCTTTGGGGGCTACACCCAGCATAGCTCAGGGCTTACTCCTGACTGTGTGCTCAGGGGTGGCTCAGAGACCATTCGGAGTGCTGGGGGACCCTGTGCAAGGCAGACACCCTACAACTGTGCTATCACTCTCGCT